CGAGGGAGCTCGGCCGGGGCGGGAGACGTCGAAGCCCGTGGCCTCACTCACCTGCCAGATGCGCGCTCCGCAGCCAGAAGCCCGGGCGCCGCCGCGGCTCTTCCCCTCCGTCCCGGCGCAGCCCCGGCCGTCGTCGCCGGAGTTCCAGGACCCGGGGGTCGAGGATGGAACCGAGGCAGGTAAAGCGGCCACCGGCCCCGAGCGCAGAGAGGCGTACATAGGGGGGCGCCGGGGGCCCGTGAAAGGCAACTCCGCGCTTCACCTTCCTCACCGGTAACCAACAACGCTCCCCGGGCACAGCATCCTGCTAGCCCCGGCCCGCTGCTCTCGGGCCTTAGCCCGAAGCTCCCCCCCCTCAAGCAGCGGCTGGGTTTCCGGCGGTCACACTCCGCCCCTTCGCTAGTTGGCTTCCGCCATCTTGCTGGAGGCGGGAAGAACACAACGCGCAGGCGCGCGCGAGAGCGCGGGGGCATTCCGCTGCCTGGCTTTGACAGACGCGGGTGCGCATGCGCATCTCCGCTGTGCTCCGTCTGCAGCGTCTGGATTCTCCCAGCTCTCCAGTGTGCCTGGGTTGTTCCTCTGGCCATTGCCTTCCCTGGGCTGGCTGTGCTGTATGTAGTCAAGAGTAAACCTTTTCGCGCACACTGCAGGCATGTTTTGCAAACATCTATGTGTCACAGACCCCAAGCTAGGTGCTGACAATAGGAAATGAATAAAAACTTCCAACGTTTAAGGAACCCCCTGATAGTGGAAAAGACAATGTTGAACAACTTTCTTTGGGGGCTGCACTTCCAGCTTTCTTAAATCCTTCCTTTTCCTAGCTCCAAAATAATTTGCAATATAATCTCTGCTTACTGTCCTACCCTTCTGCATCCTAGTTTCTCTTTTTGTCTAAGTTTATATTCTAAATATTTTGGTTTTTAAAAAGCCAAATAGGCAAAACAATAGTGCATACTAACTACTTAGATGAGGACAAAATCTTCATTAATTCCAGCAACATTTATGGAATGCCAACATTTACCCATGCCAGACACAGTTCTATGCATTTTGTATTCACTGATGAATCATCTCCCTCTTACAGAATTCATTGTTTAGTGGAGAGACAATAAAAATATAATAAACACATAACCTAAAAGCGCACTGAGGAGCCAGGGATGGTGATGCATGCCTGAGATGCATTCCCAAATGCATCTCTGCATTTTGGAAGCTAAGACAGGATGCCTGCAAGTTCTAGGCTGCGAGCCCCACCTTAAAACATATGCACATTCATATACACACACTTTAATGTTCAAAAACATATTGAGTGCTATCAAAGAAATGCTGGTATGCTATGATGGAAAATAATGGGGTAGAGCAAGAAGATTTACTTAGGAAAAGATGGCCTTTGTAAATGAAACCTGAAGGAGAGCAAGTAATTATACATATAAAGAACTAAAGGAAGGCCTTGTAAGTATTCCAATCATATGTACCAAGCAGTAAGGCCTCAGGAGCTAAAGGTATTTGAATATGAATCATAGAGAACAGTGCTAAATTAGAGGGACCACTTGGAATTAAATCCAATTGCTTACATGGCTTCAAGGACCTCCTTGATTTGACCCTGCCTTCCTTCACCACACCTCCTGGCATTGTCTATGTAGTCTTCTCTTTCTGTTCCTCTTACCTGCCACACTCATTTATGAGTATTTATGGAACATCAATCTTGTGTGCAGTATACTCTGCTAGAAACCTAATCCTTCCCACACCTCTGCTAGTTATTTATCCTTATTTTATATATAGGTAAGTACAGAGATGGAGTCACTTGCTCAAGGGATACATGGAGAGATAGTGCTGGCCCTAAAGCGAACACCTTTCCCATTTAGAGATATTGAATTTGATGACAGACTTATTTGGTGATTAGATTCTGTGTCACTAACAAGTTTCCATTACAGATTTCAGCTACTGTACTTACGAATTCCAGCCACATTGCTAGTCTGTGTACAGTCAAAAGGCCTAATTGGAAATTGCTGTAATTCTTTTAGAACTCTTTTTAGAATCATTTTCCTTTTTTAAAATGCTGTGTTTCTTTTTATTCTTACATATGCATTTGAGTATAGAAAAAGAAGAAATGTGTGTAAAATATGTCTTACTCCCCCATCTACGTTTCTCCTATGTATTATTCTATGAGTTTTTCCAAATTATGCTTCTTATTTCCCTCTTTATAAGTTAGCTGCCTCAAGATGGCTGGGAAGATCTGCTGAAAAAGGATGGGGCTGCTGCCTTATTTTAGGGTCCATCCAGTTCTTAAAGGAAGAGCAACATTCAACCCATGATGAGCCAGGTACTAGTGACTCACGCCTGAAATTCTAGCTACTCAGGAGGCTGAGATCTGAAGATTGTTTGAATCCAGCCTTGGCAGGAAAGTCTGTGAGACTTTTATCTCTAATAAACCACCAGAAACCCAGAAGTGAAGCTGTGGCTCAAAGTGGTAAAGTGCTAGTCTTGAGCAAAAGAGCTCAAGGACATTCCCAGCCCTGAGTTCAAGCCCTACAACTGACAAAAAAAAAAAAAAATGACACATGTTCATCAACCAAACCCAATCAGTAGGGTAGGACTATTTAACCTTACAAAACTCATTACTGCATTCTCACTATAGAATAATCCTTAGACTAAATTCTAAAAACACGACAATGTCTTTAGTTTCTATTTTGTTCTTCTCTTAGGTTTACCATCTGATACAGTTGAATTGTATTACTCTCCAAAGATATAGTCCTAACCACTAGTACCAAAGACTCTGACCATAATCAGAAATAGGTTCATTACAGATATAATTATGTTAAAACTAGGTCACAACACAGTGGAGAAGGTAACCCAATAAGGCTATTGTCCATAGAAGATGATTGTGTGGAGGCAGGCAGAGAAAATTCAAGTGAGGACAAAGAGATTGGAGTCATGCAGCTGTAAGCCAAGGAATACCAAATGTTATCAACAAACAATTCTTGCTTGCTTGCTTATATGTATATTTTTTGTAAAGATTCTGTACAAAGGGGTTACAGTTACATGAGTAAGGTAATGAGTACATTTCCTATCGAGCATTGTTACCCTCTCCTGCTTGCTTGCTTTTAAGAAAAGGCAACCAATGGGGCTGGGAAGGTGGCTCAGTGGTAGAGTGCTTGCCTTGCATTCATGAGGCCCTGGGTTTGATTCCTCAGCACCACATAAGCAAAAAGAAAAGAGCCGGAAGTGGCATTGTGGCTCAAGTGGTAGAGTACTAGTCTTGAGCTGAACAGCTGAGGGACAGCGCCCAGAGTTCAGGCCCCACGACCGGAACCCCCCAAAAAAAAGAAGAAAAAAGAAAAGGCAACCAAGGATTTTCCCACAAGTTTCAAAGGAAACATGGTTTGATGACACACAATTTTGAATTTATATCCTTTTGAACTGTAAACCAATCAATTTCTGTTGTTTTAATCCAACCAATCAGTGGTACTTCATCATAATAGTGCCAGTAAATTAATACATCACATATATGTATATATACATATCTATGTACGCACACACACACATATGTGTGTGTGTGTGTGTGTGTGTGTGTGTGTGTGTGTGTATATATATATATATGCAGGACCTAGAACAAAGGAAGGATATAGGGCAGGCAGTGAGGATACCTAGATTATTGCCCCAACTGGGCAGCAAACCAGCTATAAAACCTCAGGCTAGTAACTGAGCAACACGTTTCTCATGTGTACAAACAAGGATAATGATAGCTACCCTGCCTACCTCAGAGATCTACAGTGATAACTAACAAGTATTTGTCTAGTGATGCTATAACAAAAAGAGTCTGACAAATACTAAGAAACAATTATGCAAAAGGCAGGGTTCCTGCCCCAGGGAATTCTACAGTCTGGCTGAAAAGATAAGCATTTTCCTATAAGGCCAAGCACTAAGTTTGTGGTTTGGATCTTCACTTTTGATGCTGAATCAAGAAAGGACCTTGTAGACTGATGGAGAAGGGGGACTTCATTAAGGACCTTCCCAGAAAAAGTATTTATTAGCATCATTTTAGATATCCACAGGATTTTTAGGAACAATGCTGAGCATTAGGTCCACAAATGGTCCCAAGAAGCCACCACTATATTCAGAGCTAGATACAGATACCAAAACTAAAAAGGCCAATACAATTAACCTAGATTCTGGATGATGTCACTGCTGTTCCTGGAAAATAGGTATAATTACCATTGCTGTCACTTTGCTCAACAGAATGGACAGTCATTTGATCTTCACACACTAACAAGCCTGGCATGAGGATTAATGATTGACACAGTAAAGTCATAGTTAAACAATCTAGCTACATGCTCTTCAGTGGAAACATAATGCAAGCTACATGTATAATTTAAAATTTTCTAGTAGCCATGTTAAAAAGGTTTGAAAACCAGGGGAAATTAATGCCAGTAATTTATTTAACCAAATATATCCAAAATATTGGCATTTTATCATGGTGGGTAGCATATTTAGCAGCACAGCTGTAACTGATAAGTATGTTTGGAAAATGAGTACAATAGTTTCCATAGTGAGAGGTAGGTTCTGCTACATGAGGAGGGCAAGGGTTCACATGTAATCTTATAAATGGAAGATAAAGCTCAACCAAGACTGGACTATGGAGAAGGGAAAATGGTAGACCAAGACTTTTTTTTAACTTAACTTTATTATTAGTTGTCGTACAGAGGTGTTACCAATTTATGTCAGATAATGAGTACATTTCTTTTGGGGGGCAGTGTCACCTCTTCTTTCATTTTCCCTCAGTTTCTACCTCCCATCTCTGCTCACAAGTTCATTTTCCACAGAGTATATACTGACTAGCATGATGGTATTTGTTCACCCTTTGTCCCTCCCTTTCTGTGCCCCCTTTAACTACCCCTAAAGAAAAGGAAAAAAAAAAACAACCAAAACCAAACACCACCACCATCACCAAGAATAATAGCAACAACAACAAAACATTTCTCTGAACTGGAATTCATACGATAAATAGTATTTTAAATGTTCAGAGACGTTACACCTTTGAGTTCTCTTAAGAGTATCCTCTTTTAGTCTATATGTGAATGCCTGGAGTCCTGTATAGGTTATCATGTCTAGTTATATTTTAGATCTAGCTTCCACATATGAGAGAAAATGTGTCATTGTTTTTGTCTGTGTTTGGCTTACCTCACTTAGCATGATTTGGTCTAGGTCCATCTATTTCCCTGAAAATGACATAATCTTATTCTTTTAATGGACAAGTAAAATTCCATTGTGTATATATACCACATTTTATCAATCTACTCATCTGTAGAAGGGCATCTGGGCTGTTTGCATAACTTGGATTTTGTGACTAATGAAGCA